GTCTTGGTGTGAGAGGTGTGAACAGGGTCCCTTTACTGACTTGGGGGAAAAAAATTCCTGGGTGAGAGGTGGTACACATCCCCTTATAAATTGTGGTACAGTCCTGGTGTGAGAGGTGCTTCATGTCACCTTCATGACACTTGTGGTACAATCCTGGTGTGAGAGGTGTGAACTTCCCTTCACTGCCCTTGGGGTTTACTAATCTGGGTGAGAGGTGTGTACATGTCACTTCACTGACATTGTGGTACAACCCTGGTGTGGAGCTGTGTAATGTCACTTCACTGAACTTGTGGTAAATCCTGGGGGAGAGGGTGTACAATCATTCATGAATTGTACTCACCTATTTTCTCACCATTTGGGGTTGCGGGGGTTTCGATTCAGCCCCGGGCCCCCCCTCTTCGCGATTGTACTGGTCCTCTCTCTCCTCCCCCCATGAGCTCTATATCCCTTCCCCTTTAAAACTTGTATGGTTCCCGCCCCATACGTCACTTTCTAGGCTTTCCACGGCCTGATACTCTATGACTAAGAATGTTTCCCTAAAAATCCTGGTGTGAGAGGTGTGTCATGTCCCCTTTCACTGACACTTGTGGTACAACCTGCGTGAGGGTGTTACAGTCACCTTCATGACATGGGGTAAAATCCTGGCATGAGAGGTGTGTACACGTCACCCTTCATGATATTGGGGTTAATCCTGGTGTGGAGGTGTGTACATGTACCTTCCTGCATTTGTGGTAAAATTTGGGTGTGGGGTGTAACATCACCTTCACTGAATTTGTGGTACAATCCTGTGTGAGAGGTGTTACTGTCCCTTCACTGCACTTGTGGTACAATTGGGTGAGAGGGTTTTATGTCACTTCACTGCACTTTGGTACGTCCTGGTGTGGAGGTGTGTACTGTCACCTTCACTGACACTTGTGGTAAAACCCGGTGTGGAGGTGTGTACTGTCACTTTCGCTGACACTGTGGTACAATCCGGTTTTGGGGAGGTGTGTACACATCCCCTTTTCATGGTACTTGTGGTACAATCCGGGTGTAGAGGTGTGTACATGTCCCCTTCACGGGGACACTTGTGGTAAAATCCTGTGTGAGAGGTGTGTACATGTCACCATAAATGACACTTGTGGTAAATCCTGGTGTGGGGGTGTGTACATGTCACCTTCACTGCCCCTTGTGGTACAATCCGGGTGTGAGAGGTGTTAATGTCACCTTCACTGTCTTGTGGACAATCGGTGTGAGAGGTGTGTCAGTCACCTTCTGGAGTTTCCCGGGAGAGGTTTGGGGGTTCACCCCCCCGCAGCCCGGTCTGTGCCAGCCCCCGGTGGTTGAGCCTGTTCAACCAGGCTGTTACTGTGGCTGCATGCAAAAAACATACGAGCCACAGCCGGCTGGTCAGGTACCGATTTAGGTGCTTGTCCAGGCCACTTGAGACCCCGGGGGTTATTGGAAATCCCCTTTTGTATGCTGGGAGGATTTTAACAGTCTCGGGCCCCTGAATTTATTGTTGGTCCTTAACGTGTAGTGACCCCCCAAATTTTTCTTTGGGGGGGATGTTGCATGTCTGCCAAGTCTTTTGCTTGTAGTGAGTGTTTTTTTTGTAAAATTTTCGGTATGCCCTCTAGGTTTTTCCAGGGATTTAATCTGTATTTTCCCCCGCCTGCATTCCGGGGGAAAAAAGGGTTTTCAGGAACCTCAAGTGTCTCAGAATTGAGGTTTTTTATCTGTTATGCGCGCCTTGAAGGTTCTCTGTTATTTTCTGGTCAGAAATTTTACGTCCTTAAAAAGGTGTTTTAGTGTGCAGCAATATCCAGCCTAGATAGAACAAGTGACTGAAGGTGCATCAGGGGCTTGGCCCCCTTTTTTTGAAGGTTCTCATTATCCATCCTGTCGTTTTTCTGCAGCTGCGATTGATACATGTTTGGTCCTTGAAGGTGAAATCCCCCGACTGTACTCCGGTTTTTTGGGGTTGGGTTTTTCGTTTTTTTTGTGTCCAGTTTTGTTTTGTATTGATGAAGTTTTAATTTCCTGTGTTTCCCATATCGGTATTGAAATTTTCTCGTTGAGCTTATATTGTTTTCTGCACCCCACTAAAAGGTTTTTGGTTTAAATTGTCCCCCGGAGCCTTGCAGTGTCGCAGTTTAAGACACGTAGCAGATTTTGGTGTTTGCAAAGGAAGACACGTGCGTGGCTGACATCCTTGTCTATGTCAGATATGAGGATGGGAAACAAGATGTGAGGGGGTAGTCCCCTTGGGGAAAAAAGAGCTTTTCCCCGTAGCTCCTGGGATTTACTCTGTTGACTACTACCTTTGTGTTTTGTTTTGAGGAAAATTTTAGTCCACGACCTATTTTCCCGTTATTCCTTTTAGCAGATTTTGTGTGCTATTACCCATGGGCCATTGTCGAAAGGGTTTTGCAAAGTCTGTATATTTACTCGCATTTTTTTTGTCTTTTAGTGCATTTTTGGACCTTTTCATATGATCAAAAGTTGAAAAAGGAGCACCTGTTCTAAAAACCCCTGTTTTTCCCCGAGTTGTGTAATTTATGGGGTTTCTAGATGGGGGTGATCTTGTTCTTAGGGGCCCTTTCAAAGATTTTTTGATATGGGGTGTTTGTGCTTTCGTCTGTGTTTTTTGCTATTGCTTTACTGCCCCCCTTTTTGGAGGGGGGGTTATCTGTTTTTTTTTTAACTGGGAGACCCCCGTGTCCATGCTCCCTGTCCTTTGGAGGTTTTTAAAATCGTGATAGGGGGTTCCTGCAGTTTTAAAACATGGAGTTCCGAGTCTGGTCCTGGGGCAGAGTGCAGGGCTGCATTTTTTGCGTTCGAATCATTTGGTGTCAGGATAAAATTTGGATAGGCTTGTGTTAACCAATTCTGTGGCTTATAAAAAAATTCATTTTGATCTTCAACTCTCAGTTTGGTTAGTGGCTTTCTAAAAAAAAGAGTCATATTGGGGGTTGGTAGTAATATTTCCTTGCTGTCATCTGTGAGGGCCCCCCTTGTTTAAGCAGGGGCCAATCTGGCGTTGTTTTCGACTTTGATTTGGCTAGGAAAAAAATACTTTGGGGGTTTTTTCGATTTCATTTATGGCTTTTAGTTTTCCCCCGGATTCCGACTCCTAAAGATTCCCTTTTGTAAGTTCGATGCTTGTGTTTCTTGACCAGTGACTCCCACGCTTTCGATATATTGGCCCTTTTTAGCCCTTGTTATTCTTTTTGTCGCCTGTAAAGGGGGCGCCCGTCTCTTCTATTTTCATCTACTCCTCCTTTTTTTTAGAGGAAAAGCCTTTTGCATAATCGAGTGCCCCCGAGTTAATTGTTCTAGGGATTGTTGGGGTCTGGTTGCTTATATGATTAGACTTGGTTTTCTTGGCCCCACTTTTTGTTTTTTTTATTGAAGTTGAATTTGGTGAATGCTCCCGTGACTAATCTTTATGTCGGTTGGGGCTCCCCGCTACATGTCTGAACCTCCTTTGTTTTGATTTGGGATATTTTTTTTGATATGGGACATTTTTTCAGATCATCATTATTTTGAAGTGAGGTCTAGTGTATTCTCCCGTCTAGTAGGCTTATTTTTTGCGGTTTAAGTTTATTTTTTTGAGAGATTTAAAGTTCTGTGTGTGGATTCTCGTCAGAGCTGCCTCCTTGTGTTATTACTGAACAACTATTTGTTATTCCTCCCCTTTAGGTCCCTTTGGAAAACCCCCAGGGCAAGATGGGGAGAGGAGCTGGCGATTTTTTGACAGGGGCAATTTTTTAAAGTGTTCCTGGAAAATTTCTGGGCGTTGCATCGGAGGCTTGTAGATACCACATGATTAGGTTTTGGTTCTCGACTTTATGCTAAAATTCACTACATCATTTGAGGCATTTAGAGTTTTTTGCAAAAAAGTGCTTGCGATTTTCCCCCCCTTTTTCCTGTTCACTCTGTGCCCTGTATAAGCTTTAAACCCGGGGTCCTTTTCGTTTTAAGTGATCTTTATGTGGGCCCCGTGAAAGCCGCGAAATTGCATTTTCCCCTGCAAGCAGTCCACGGTGCAGGTATTTTGTTGTTTGTTGTGGTTTTTTGACCTGTATTTTGCGAAGAAGAATGTCATCGGGCTGGTTGGGATTGTTTGGGACGGGGGGGGGTTTTTTTTTCCCCGGGATTAGTATCTGTATCTGTTGTTTTGGGGGAGGCCATCGGCTGTGGTTCCACCCAGGAATTTACTGGATTTGGTGTACGATTTCTGCCATTTCCTGCCCCGTTTTTTTTCCTTCCCGGCACTTAAAAACCTCTCCCCCTTGATGGCTGTGGTACCCCGGGTTTTCCCAGGCCCGGGTGTTTTGTTTCTTTTGTTCCCCTTTTGATGGGGTGCCTGGCAATTTAAGTTATAGACAGTCTTTCCTTTTACTGAAGAGGGACAATTTCAGGGTGAAAAAAACTTCAGGAAGGGAGTTTTCATTTTCCTGTTGTATATGTCCGGGATTTTTAGGGTGGTCTATTGCACGTCCCCCGTTTTTCAGATTTCCCGTGTGCAGATACCCAAATGCATGTATGTGCACAGGCTTGGTTTCTGTTTGCTTGGGTTTCTTGACTGTTTCCTGTTTGTGCATGTTTACCGTTTTTTTCCCACCTCCTAGCCAAACAATGGTCCTTTCACCAGTTTTTTTTGGTAAAATTCCTCACTATTGCTGTGGAGTTCCCCTTGTTTGCCATTTCTGTGGTATTTTTTGTTTGCAATATTGGTTTTATTTGTCCCCGACTAACCCTTTTTTCCCCATACAGCTCCTGTCTCCCCTTTAGGTCATTTAATGCTTTTCCCCCCTTTGGGTTTTTTCCTGACTCCTGGACAAATCTCCAGCTTTACCATTATGTCTCCAGTAGACACCCCCAGCTTCCCATTACTGTCTCCCAGGACGACCTCCCCCTCACCATTACTGTCCCAGGACGCATACAGCCCCAATTTATGACTACCCGGACATCACCTCCAGCCTTACCTTCACTGACACTTGTGGTACAGTCCTGGTGTGAGAGGTGTGTACACATCACCTTCACTGACACTTGTGGTACAATCCTGGTGTGAGAGGTGTGTACATTTCACCTTCACTGATACTTGTGGTACAATCCTGGTGTAAGAAGTGTGTACACATCACCTTCACTGACACTTGTGGTACACTCCTGGTATGAGAGGTGTGTATATTTCACCTTCACTGACACTTGTGGTACAATCCTGGTGTGAGAGGTATGTACATGTCACCTTCACTGTCCCTTGTGGTACAATCCTGATGTGAGAGGTGTGTACATGTCACCTTCACTGACACTTGTGGTACAGTCTTGGTGGTGTGAGAGGTGTGTACATATCACCTTCACTGACACCTGTGGTACGGTCTTCATGGTGTGAGAGGTGTGTACACATCACCTTCACAACACATCTTCACTGAACAATTTTCCTATATTAATTTGTGATAATGTTGTGATCTGGACCACCTTTCTTCACTGAACAATTTTCTTATATTAATTTGTGATGATGTTGTGATCGTGGACCACCTGTGTATTGGTCCAGAGACCAACATTAGACAATCACACCTGCGGATGCTCTGAATGGCTGTTATGTCGCTGGTCAATGACTCTGAACCTCAGTGGAAATAAATCACTCTGACTTTTTCGGGTTATCCTAGGTTCTCTACACATATACTGCTATGTATGATAATCTATGTAACTGTATTTGTGTATACCTGAATAAACTTACTGGTGGGTGACAGTGGGTCAGGTGGGTGACAGTGGATCTGGTGGGTGACAGTGGGTCTGGTGGGTGACAGTGACTCTGGTGGATGACAGTGACTTTGGTGGGTGGCAGTGGGTCTGGTGGGTGACAGTGGCTCTGGGTGAGGTGACAGTGACTTGGTGGGAGTGTTTGGCAGTGGGTCTGGTGGGTGACAGTGGGTCTGGCTGCACCTGAGTGTACTTGGGGAGATCCACCTTGTATCTTATTTACTATTTCTTAGTTGTTCTGTGCTGAACACTTTTATTATATGTACTCCCAGATTTTGTTATTTACTGGCCAGACAGCAGGACGCAGCCTGACACAGCTGTGCTGGCCTAGTTTAAACTTTACCATTATTTGAATTTATTATAAGTATATACATTGTATCCTGTGATATATAATGTTCAGCAGCACTTGTTTGCTTCATTTATTAAATGTAAATTAACGTAGTATTATGAAATCCACTGGAATCAATGATATCACTATAGTAAACCATTAATGATATTTATATGGCTTCTCATATGATACATATGTTCTTGTATTATTTTACTTGTAATATGTTTCTTTCCATTGAACACACTGTGATGGTTAAACCAAAATTACTTCAATGAAAATAAGCATCTGTTATTATTTAAATATACAAAACTCATTCTTTTAGTTTATATTGAGGTTTAGGTCCTGGTCTGAACTCGTGTGATACAAGCATCTTATATATACCCTGGCAATAGTTGCTATATCGTGTGTAAAAATCTATTGTTTGAGATATTAACAAATGTTAACATTTGGTACAAACAGCATATCACGGCCAATCAACAGTTAGTTTCAAGATAATTAACATGCCTGGCCAATCACAGCAGCACACTGAACATAAAGATATGATATTTCTATCTCTACTGCTGACAGTGGGTGAGGTTAGGTTAGATTATTTTAAGTTGGGTTAAGTTGGGATTCTTTAGATTTAGGCTTTTATTGTTTCCACAAAATGATTTTTTACTTGATAATTCACATTTTACAGAACTAATTATTGACCAACTCATATTTGACTTTCAACTCCGTATTGACCAACTTTTTTTTATATATAATCTATTTGTTAATTTGTCTGAAAATCCAACAGATTTTATAGATGGATTCCAACTTTTTTCAAGAAATCCTTCCAGGCTAGTTTGCTGCTCTCCAAAAAAAAAAAAAATGCTCTTCACAAGACAAATTGAATTTGAGTCTATAGGAAAAAGTTTATTTTTAAGTCAAGAGAGTGAGGGGGACACAGGCTGTGTGGTGTGGGATGCAGCCATTGTTCTGGCAAAGTACCTCGAGAAGCAGAGATATCTCTTGGAAAAACAAAGGGATTTAGGTGAGTTTCACAGTTTAAGTTCAGTTGTTAATAACAGTGCCATGGTGGTCATTAAGGGCAATTAAGGGTGCTATCATGGCAGGGAAGAAATTACACTTCCAAACTTGATTTAATTAATGAAAATCTAACTGAAGTGTATTGAATAAAGTTGCTCGGCTGAACTTGCCATTTACTTATTTTTTAACATAAAAGAAGGTATCTAAATGCAGGCAAAAATAGTTATTTCTTGGGCAAATTGCCATTTTAGGGACATTATTCACATAAATACTTTTATGGGAGGAAGAATATTTGTGGTGATATGATTATGCTGAGGGACAACACAATGGATGTCAGAGGCCCAAGACTGTTCAACTGCCTTCCCTGGCTGTCTTCAAGAGGAAACTGGGTGGGCACCTAAAGTCAGTACCTCACCAGCCAGTCTGTGGTGCATAAGTTGGTTTGCATGCAGCTAGCAGTAATAGCCTGGTTGATCAGGCCCTGATCCACCATGGAGCCTGGTCATGGACCAGGCCTCTGGGGAGTTGACCCTCGGAATACCCTCCAGGTATGCTCCAGGTATTCTCCTGACTCAATCAGTGGCTGGTACTAAGACTCTACATTCTAGTAATATACATGTACTCAGTTCAAGAACCACAGACTAAGGTTAACAGGTCAAAAATCCTACTTTGAATAAGAAAATGAACCTTGGAGTTCATAGGAGGGAGGGCATATATGAAAATTGAGAATATTGTAAGGTTCTCAGTCATCTGAAGATTTTGATTCCTGTAGGGATGGCGACGATTATAGTTGCGGATGTAAAGTATGCGTGAGTGTCAACATCTATACCTACTGTGAGCATGTGGTGGGCTCATACTAGGAAACCTAAAATTCCGATTGCTGTCATGGCGTAGATTATACCTAAGGTTCCAAATACTTTTTTTTTTTACCTGACTCTTGTATAACAATGTGGGATACTATTCCAAAGGCAGTCAGAAATAGGATGTAAACTTCTGGATGGCCCAAAAACCAGGATAAGTGTTGATAGAGAATGGGGTCACCACCTCCAGCTGGGTTGAAGAAGGTCGTATTTAGATTAACTTATTTTTATGTATTTTACCAAAAATAATGTAGCCTAATCTAATTAAATCTAACAACCTAGCCTAATTAGTTGTTGAACTTAGTATTGTACTATATATTATTAGAATACTGACAATAAATGTTATGGTAATTGCTGATTGGGCTGGAAATGCATTTTACTACTAATGTTCTTCATAAGAGTATTGCATTAATAAAATTTTCCAAAATTACAATTTACTCAAGGAATAAAATTTTTTTGACTGTTTTTGGAGACTATACTTGTATTGTTAAAGATAAGTAATGGCTGAGTTCCATTAAACAGCTGTTTTCAGTATAGACTTCATGTTCTACCCAAGAATATTGATAAAATGCTAGATATCTCGTAATATGAGCAAGAATATTCCTATCCGTCTCCACCCACAGCAAGACTCACTCCCCTCTATTCTCAGCAAACCTTCCATTGCTCTCCACCCACAAAACATTAGCTAAATTTTTGTAAATTTTTTTTAAGTATAAAAGTTCATTAAAATAGAGAAGATTAGGCACTTGTACTCTAAATTGATTTTTAGCCATCTACATGATGAGACATTGATAAACAACCTAAAACTAGCTCTAGGTGCCATTGATTGGCAGAGAGAGTTAGATGACAGTGATCTCCGCAATGCATCCCAACTCCTTAAACCAGTTCTATTCGCAGATGACACTACATATGTCTACTCCCATTCAGACCCAGCTGTGCTTGGAAACACTGTAAACAATGAACTGCTAATGATATATGCTTGGATGATGACCAACAAACTCTCTCTCAATATAGACAAAACATACTTCATGCTGTTTGGCAACAGAGCCTCAAATATCCAACTCGACATAATGTTAAATGGTTCCCCTATATCAAGACGCACAGAGGGCAAATTTCTAGGTCTTCTCCTTGACTGTAATCTTAAATTTCAGTCCCATACCCATCACATAACCAAGAAAATTTTCAAATCAGTAGGAATCCTTTTCAAGATACACTACTATGTACCACAAACGACTCTCCTTACCCTGTACCACTCTCTAATATATCCTTACCGCACCTATGGTATCTGTGCCTGGGGCTCAACCACAGCCAACCACCTTAGACCCTTAATAATCCAACAAAAAGCTGTTGTGCGGGTGATAACCAGCTCCTGTGCTAGACTGAACACCCCACCACTTTTCAAAAGACTCAGCTTGCTAAATATACAAGACATACACTTTTGTTATTGTGCCTACTACATAAGCAGAACATTAAACTCCACTGTAAACCCTCCCATAAAACTACTACTCGACAGTTACAACAGAATGCACAGGCACAATACAAGGCATAAGGCACTTTTCAACATCCCTTGAGTCAGACTCTCACTATGCAAGAACGATATGCACATGAAAGGCCCGAAGATCTGGAACTCGCTACCGGAACAGGTCAAGGATCCCCAGACAGCTTGTAAATTTAGGACTTTGCTAAAAAATCATCTTCTTTCAACAAACTGGCCGTATCCCACCAAGGCAGGGTGGCCCAAAAAAAAAACAAAAGTTTCTCTTTTTAAATTTAATAATTTATACAGGAGAAGGGGTTACTAGCCCCTTGCTCCCGGCATTTTAGTCGCCTCTTACAACATGCATGGCTTACGGAGGAAGAATTCTGTTGCACTTCCCCATGGAGGTAAGAGGAAATAAACAAGAATAAGAACTAGAAAGAAAATAGAAGGAAACCCAGAGGGGTGTGTATATATGTGCTTGTACATGTATGTGTAGTGTGACCTAAGTGTAAGTAAAAGTAGCAAGACGTACTTGAAATTTTGCATGTTCATGATACAGAAAAAAGGGCGCCAGCAATACTACCATCATGTAAAACAATTACAGGCTTTCGTTTTACACTCACTTGGCAGGACGGTAGTACCTCCCTGGGCGGTTGCTGTCTATCAACCTACTACCTAGGAAAAAATCATCTTATCTCACAATATTAACCAAATCAACCAAACATCTGCTAACTAGTTTTATTATGTGACCTCTAGGCTCTTAATTCTGCCAATCTATAAAATCATCTTGTTTCTCAATATTAACCAAATCTGCCAAAACATCTGCTAGTCTTATCATGTGACCTCCTGGCTTTTAATTCTGCCATTCCATAAAATATTACCACCTGCACCATTACATGTACTTGTAAGTTAGATTTTGTACTAAGTTCAAATAAGATTGTAAAACAGCTAACCACTATTCCTTGTTTAGTTTTAGGTATAGTTACTATGTACTATTGTCTTATCTAGTTTTAATTAGTTACTATGTATTAGGATTAGTGTGCCCGAAATGCCTCAGCCTGATAGTGGCTATCTTTGTACTTAATAAATCAAAATTGTAATTACACATTGTAACCTTTACAAAGAAATAAACTTTTATTATTATTATTATTATTATTATTATTATTATTATTATTATTATTATTATTATTATTATTATTATTATTATTATTATTACACCAAGTCTCCCATTTCCCTCCATCAGTAGTAAGATGCCTATTGGCCTCTATCAATAGTGAAACTCCCACAGCCCCCCCCCACCAAGACTCTCTCACTGCTTTCCATCAGTAGTGAGACTCCCACTGACCTTCATTAATAGACACTCACAATAACTTCATCAGTGAAGACTCCTTGCCCTCACTTAAGAGCAAGACTTTCACTGTTCTTAATCCACAGTATAAGCAATAATATATTTTTTTTGGTTTTAACACATTGGCTGTTTCCTACTGAGGCAGGGTGACCCAAAAAGAAAGAAAAACTCCAAAAGAAAAACCTTTCATCATCATTCAACACTTTCACCATCATTCACACATAATCACTGTCTTTGCAGAGATGCTCGTATACGCCAGTTTCGATGTCCTTCCAAACTGCCAATATCCTAAACCCCCTCCTTTAAAGTGCAGGCATTGTACCTCCCATCTTCAGGACTCAAGTCCAGATAACTAGTTTCTCTAAATTCCTTCACAAAATATTACCCTGCTTGCACTCCAACAGCTTGTCAGGTCCCATAAACCATTCATCTCCATTCACTCCTGTCTAATACTCTCACGCATGCTTGCTGGAAATCCAAGCCACCCGCCCACAAAACCTCCTTTACCCCCTCCCGCCAATCTTTTTGGGGGCAACCCCTACCTTGCCTTCCTTCTCCAGCATATTTATATGCTCTCCAAGTCATTCTGCTTTGTTCCATTCTCTCTGAATGACCAGACCACCTCAACAACCCCTCTTCTGCCCTCTGACTAATACTTAAAATAACTCCACACCTCCTCCTAATTTCCACTTCAAATTCCCTGCATAATATTTACACCACACATTGCCCTTGGACAGGACATCTCCGCTGCCTCCAGCCGCCTCCTCACTGCAGCATTTACAACCCAAGCTTCACACCCATATAAGAGTGTCGGTACCACTATACTCTCGTACATTCCCTTCTTTGTCTCCTTAGATAACTTTTTTTTTGTCTCCACATATACCTCAATGCACCACTCACCTTTTTTCCTTCATCAGTTCTATGGTTTACCTCATCCTTCATAAATCCATCCGCTGACAAATCAACTTCCAAATATCTGAAAACAATCACTTCTTCCATACTCCCTCCGTCCAATGTGATATCCAATTTTTCTTTATCTAAATTGTTTGATACCCTCATCACCTTACTCTTGTCTATATTCACTTTTAACTTCCTACCTTTACACACCCTCCCAAATTCATCCACTAACCTTTGCAACTTTTCTGTAGAATTCCCCAAAAGCACAGTATCATCAGAAAAAAAGTAACTGTGTCAACTCTCATTTTGTATTTGATTCCCCATAATTTAATCCCACCCTTCTCTCAAACACCCTAGCATTTACTTCTTTTACAACCCCATCTATAAATATGTTAAACAACCATGGTGACACACAAATA